AGCGTCGCCAGGAATGGCTTCTGTCCGAGCTGAGTGGAAAGCGTCCACTTTTTGGTCCCGACCTTCCCAAAACCGAGGAAATAGCTGATGTCCTCGACACGTTTCATGTCATAGCTGAGTTACCTTCAGACAGCTTTGGAGCTTACATTATCTCAATGGCAACCGCACCTTCTGATGTCCTGGCCGTCGAGCTTTTACAACGTGAATGCCACATAAAACAGCCATTGAGAGTTGTTCCGCTCTTCGAGAAGCTTGCTGATCTAGAAGCTGCACCTGCTGCCGTCGCAAGGCTCTTCTCGATAGAGTGGTACAGGAACCGTATTAACGGTAAACAAGAGGTTATGATTGGTTACTCGGATTCAGGGAAAGATGCCGGTCGTTTATCGGCTGCTTGGCAGTTATACAAAGCTCAGGAAGAGCTCGTGAAGGTTGCCAAGGAGTATGGAGTGAAGCTAACCATGTTCCATGGTCGAGGTGGCACTGTCGGAAGAGGAGGTGGGCCGACCCATCTTGCTATACTGTCTCAGCCTCCAGAAACCATTCACGGGTCACTCCGTGTCACGGTTCAGGGTGAAGTCATCGAGCAGTCGTTCGGAGAAGAGCACTTGTGCTTCAGAACCCTTCAGCGTTTCACGGCTGCTACCCTTGAACACGGTATGAACCATCCGGTCGCTCCAAAGCCCGAATGGCGTACCTTGCTTGATGAAATAGCAGTCGTTGCAACCGAGGAGTACAGGTCTTATGTTTTCAAAGAACCTCGTTTCGTCGAATACTTCCGCCTCGTAAGTATTTACATCATATATATATAATTTTGTCCTGTTTTTTTTGTTTAAGCAAGGTCATTAATTGAGACAAACATCGGTTTCAGGCTACACCCGAGCTGGAATATGGCCGTATGAACATTGGAAGTAGACCCTCGAAGCGGAAGCCAAGTGGAGGAATAGAATCTCTCCGTGCTATCCCGTGGATCTTTGCATGGACACAGACAAGATTCCATCTTCCGGTATGGTTGGGATTTGGAGCAGCGTTCAGGCACGCGATCAAGAAAGATGTCAGGAACCTCCACAGGCTGCAGGAGATGTACAACAATTGGCCATTCTTCAGGGTCACTATCGATCTGGTCGAAATGGTGTTTGCCAAGGGAGATCCCGGAATCGCTGCTTTGTACGACAAACTTCTCGTCTCGGAAGAACTCTGGCCATTCGGAGAAAAGCTCAGAGCTAACTTCGAAGAGACCAAGAACCTCATCCTCCAGGTAAACTAAGCTCAACCCTCCATTACACAGAATCTGAATCTAAAACTACTGCAAACATTGGTCTTGTGTCCGAACAACGGCTGTTCTTCTCTGCAGATCGCTGGACACAAAGATCTTCTTGAAGGGGATCCCTACTTGAAGCAAAGACTGCGTCTTCGCGACTCGTACATAACGACCCTAAACGTCTGCCAAGCCTACACGCTGAAGAGGATCCGTGATGCAAACTACAACGTGAAGTTGCGGCCTCACATCTCTAAAGAGATCATGGAATCGAACAAACCAGCGGATGAGCTCGTCAAGCTCAACCCGACCAGCGAATACGCCCCTGGCCTGGAGGACACCCTCATCTTGACCATGAAGGGTATTGCCGCTGGCCTTCAAAACACCGGCTAAGATGAAAAAAATCCGATCTTTCTGCAAAGATGGTTCATCTTGAGGGACCTTTTCTCCTCTTCTACAGAATGAAAATAATAAGTTATACGGTCGGATGATGTTTCCTTATATATCCGCCGTTTCCTGTGTTCCATCACATGTATGAGCTCTGAGACCGTACCATCGCTCTGATCTGTTTCTGCAGTGCAAAAGAGACAGAGTGATGCTACTTTATTTGTTTCCGACATTACAAAAGGTTGGAACTCTTTTTTTTTTTTTTGGTATGAAAAAGGTTGGAACTTTGTTTTCATATATCGTTTTTTACACCCTATGGTCACGTTCCATGTACGGCCATGCATACATATATACATACATGTATGTATGCAGCGTGTGAACATCAATGCATGTGCATGCATGTACGTGTTGTGGCATGAGTTTCTCTGTCTGTGATCCTGGTGGAAATGGCAGGCGCGTTATATGGGAAGATGTGGCATGATTATCAGATGCCACCGTTGAAGAAGGAAGAAAACGACACGGTAGTCGGGTGTTATTTACAGACACGGCGTGCATTTCGGTCCACTACGCCCCAACGGCTATATTAATTTGGAGAGACCGTACATTGCCAAGGGGTTATTATACAGTACACGCACGGTGTACCGTATTCACCATCCATTTCGTCTTCATTCATTCGCTTTGGATTAGATTCGTTCGTACTTTATAAGTAAAAAAATCTATTTTTTTTTTATTTGTAATCGTTTTAAACTCGTGGGATTTAAATCAAGTAGTTCACATACTGAAGCAAGCAAGTGGCAATCACGCGCTTCTTCATAAAATATTTGCATATTCGTACCAAAGAATGAAAATTTTATTCTGACATAAACTATCATATATATATATATGGGATAATTCCATTTAAAACCCTGTACTTTTATCTCGTCGCAATTTAAATCCTATACTTTTTTTTTATCCAAAAAAACATTGTACTTTTAAAAATTGGCAATTAAAACTCTATACTTTTAAAAATTGGCAAATAAAACCCTGAACGAAAAAATATATTATTTAATGCTGACATGGTATCCTAGTCATCTGCCACATCATCAATCCCTATTATTTAATAATATTAATTAATGCAAAATAAAAATAAAATAATAATAAGAAAAAAAAATTAAAATTATACACATACATATATAATGAATAGATATACATATATACACATATATAAACATATTTATATATATACACATATATATATAATACATATATATATATGTTTTATATGTATGTGGTATATGTATTTTTTTTTCTAAAAATCATGCATATGTCACATATATATATGATTTTTAGAAAAGCATGTATATATCACACATACATATAAAACATATTTATGTACGTGTGATATATGATTTTTTTCCTAAAAATCATACATATATATATATATATATATAATGTTTTTTAGGGAAAAATACATATATAACACATACATATAAAACATATAATAATTATACACATATATAGATATATATATGTATCATATGTATATATATGTATATATGTATATATAAATATATTTATATATGTATATAATTTTAAAATTTTTATAAACATGTTTATATATGTGTATAATTTTTATGAATATATATAATTTTTTAAAATTTATTTTTATTATTATTATTTTATTTTTATTTTTTATTAATTAATATTATTAAATATTAGGGATTGATGATTTGGCAGATGACTAGGATGCTATGTCAGTATTAAATAATATTATTTTTCGTTCAGGGTTTTATTTGCCAATTTTTAAAAGTATAGAGTTTTAATTGCCAATTTTTAAAAGCACAATGTTTTTTTGGATCAAAAAAAAGTACAGGGTTTAAATTGAGACGAGAGGAAAGTATAGGGTTTTAAATGGAATTATCCCTATATATATATATATATGGAAATCAATAAAAGATGAAATCCATGGAGGGGAGAGTGGGGGCACCGACAACGCCCGGCGCAGATTACCACCGGCCAACGACCAAACTTAACATTACATATGTTTTGACTTTATGACTTCTTTTTTTATGAATTTATTTTCTCTTTTTAGTTACATTTTTATTCATAGTCTACTTTCTGTTTTCTTTTTTCTCTCTGTGGAAATATTAAATTAAATAGTTATTTTGGGCGTTAGGTTTTCTTTATTGTTAGTGGGATATTTTATATATATACACACAGGCGAAAAGAGAACCCTTAAATGCGCCCTTGCGGGTGGCTCCCCCATCTGTCTTGCCCCTTGAGAGAGGGAAATAACATAGCAACATGGCATTTATAAAAGTGGCTTGTGATGCAAACAAAATCATCATCTAATTATGCCCACATCAATTTATTTGTCTCTTCGTGTGTCGATACATATATATATATATATATAATAATGACCCATGATTATAAAAATCCATTAAAATGGTTTTTAATATGACCCATAAGAAAAACTGAAATAAAGGACAGAGCGAGTGTACTTGAGAGCAAAGTCATGGATTTTGTCACATAATCTGAGTGAGAGAGAGAGAGAGATGGACAAAGACTATCTAAAAGTAAACTGAAGTAATCCACAATGCAAATACAAATACAAATCCAAACCCAAATCCAAATTTCCCTCTTAGGCTTTCCCCCTTTCACATGTAACACTTATCTGCCCTCTTTCATATGTTCGTTACATCAACTTTTCTATGTACACACAGTCATCTCCTCCAATCCAATGCACAACATCTGAAGCTTAAAAGACCCAAAAAATAACAGGAGGCAACGTCGAACCTGAACCTGAACCTGCCTAAAGTTCTTGCACAGTGAGATCAGAAAGAATAGAGGGAAGAAAACAAAGAAAAAAGACAGACAGGCTGAACCTCGGAAGCAATGGAGGAACGAATGAACAAATATCAGAGGAGAGTTTTTGAAATGGGGGGGGGGGGGGATA